TCTTCTTGAATTTGAAATATTTAATTTCTTCTCTGGGAAGAATTGTAAGATCTCTCAAATGATTGTCAAAAATTTTAGTGTATTCCTTTAGCTCCAATATTTAAGCATACATGCATGCAGAAAATAGCTTTTGAATTTTTTTACTCCCTTTGTCCATATTTGTACTGTATAGTTTAAATTCTAGGCATCAAGCTTACCTAACCCTCTTTCTGCACATCTCAGGATTTCCATGGGTTATACATTGATTCCGACTATTTAGTTGTGGAACCCATACTGTTCCTTTTTATGTTCAGATTTTTTTTTTTATCTTTTAGTCTATATTTTAAAATAAAAACTCTAACAATTTTTTTTTTTGTATTTTTTAACTCTAAAGTGTATATTTGAAATACGTAATAAAATAACTATGCAGCAAGAGGGTTAAAATTGTACTAGATAAAGAAAATGTATAAATTAACTTTTTTATGGGATTAATGTTCATTTGAAAGATTTTTTATTTGAAAAAATATTTTTCTTTATGGAAATTTTTTCTTTTGTATGAATTTAATTATTTGTATATGTATTTTGCTCTTTTTTTTTCCCTTGATTTTTTAAAAAATATTTAAACAATTTTTATTGTAAAATTAAATATATAATGACAAAACTGAAAATTAGTCATTTATTATTCTTAATAGAAATTAATTTGAACCATGTTTTCTATTTATTATAATACATTAAAAAATCTTTTCTCATCAATTATGTAAATGTTCAAATAATTTTCTATCAATATAAATTCAAAAATGAAAATATGTATGTTTTTACTGTTAGAATTATTAAAATATCATAAGATAAAACTTAAATATACATTGTTTATAATCAGCTAAACACATGTAAATAAATAGATAATATACATTTTTTGTGTGTCTCAGAATATTGCTTTGACTGATGGATCCAGTAATTCAATATATTTTAATACTAAATACACTTAATCTGAGCAGTGATTAGTTGGATGTATATGATTCGAAAACTTGCATGTAATGTTTTCTTTATTATTTTAAAATGAATTAATAAATTTATTTTGTATGGTTAATCATTTGACCAATTTGTTGTGCATATTTTTTAATGTTGAAACAGTGAAATGTCATGTATTTTTTTTTAAATGTAAATATATGAAATTCTTTATAAAAATATGCTTTGAATTTTTATGCTCACACAAGCATAAAAATATGCTTGCGACTTTTGAAAAGAAAAGTTTAATCATTTTATGTACATCAAGAAAATGATTGTATGCTTTATTTCTTTTTGCCTTTCAATTTACTCTTCTACATGTATTATAGTCTCTTCTAAATTTTGAGCTGATCTTTCCCTTTCAAATTATACAAATCATCAGTATTTTTTTTAATCATGTTTTAAAATTCTCATTAAGAAAGCTCAAATTAAATTAAGAATTCTGGTTTGAAAAATTTTCATCATTATTCTATGACCATGCAGGTGTAGAGCAAGAAATTTTCCATAGAAGGGAGGGGGTCTCCCACTTCTCTATATTTATATCTAAAAATTAATTTTGGATTTCATTGTTTATTTTGAAGGTACAAAGAAAGTATATGTGTAGTATAGAAAAATGAATATTATTTTTTTCTGTAAAGGAGGTATGAATATGAAAATTTTATTTTGATCTGCTGAAAATTTCAGTATACTGCTATCCTTATGAGGAGGGAGAAAAGAGTTAAAATTGCCTCATTAATCTCATCATTGTGTCTTTGAGACCAAATAATAGAGCAATTTTATTTCATAAGATTTATAAACTTAACTCAATGGCAAAATAGCCCATGAGAGCCAAGGCCTACTGTGCCCAACTCAGTATATGTGACCGTGGGCCCTGAGGTGCATGGGCACATGTTCCAATCAGTCTGATGTGAAACCCCCAGTGTTTTGTTCCCAATCAAGCCTCGTACTCATTTATCGACCCATCGAAGGGATGAACAGCTGAGTCAACCTTACCCAGCCCGGGGTTTGAACCTCGGACCTTTGTTGTGGATGCGCAATGCACTAACCACTCAGTCACTGTTCTTCATAATATTTATATTTGTTTTAAAACTTACTAAGCAAAATAAGTAATTGTTTGTTAATATTTTATTTTATTGTAAGAAAATATGAGAAGCTTTGAAATTCTTAGTTTCTGTGTTAAAGATCTGAAGTTTCAATTTTGATTTCTCAAATCCAATTTAAATATTCCAATAATTTTTATATATAAAATTACTGAATGCTTATTTAAATACATTTGTGCAATAAATTTTATTTAAGTACAGAACCTAAATATTAATGTTACTCATGCATCTAAATTTAAAAAATAATAAAACTCTGTCAAAATATTATAAAATGCAAGCTTGTTAAATCACTTGTCCTTTTTTAAATTTCGAATTAAATATTTTTACCTTGAGAATTATTTAGTCATTATACTTGGAAAACTGAATTTTTAAAAAAGCTTCTGAGCTTTTTCAAAGAATAAAATTTGCTCTAAATCCCATAATTTACTTGGTACTAAATTAACTCTACAGAAAGGAATCAAATTTTGGCTCATTATTAATCACTGAATATTGTTAAGAAATGGATCAAATTTGAATGTTGATTCTGTATCTAATATATAATGGGTTGTTTGGGCTATCTAACTCCATCACACAATATACTTCCAAAATATCCAAGAGTGAAAGCTTTTAAGAAAATCTTGTCCAAGTTACAATTTGAGCACTTCGAAATGTGTCACAGTGAAGTGAGATAATGATCATATGAGTCGTACAATGGGTTAAAAATTTTGATAAAAAATCTCTCAAGTACACTAGTTTTCATAAATTTAGGAATAACATTTTTTTTTTAAGCTTCTCGTTAAACAAGTAAGATAAAAAAAAAAATTAAGTCAATTTTCCTACTTAGGTCAACAAAGAAAATTTATTTTTTTGTTACTTTTTATTAAATAAGCTACTATATTAATATAAATGTGTGTATAGGGAAGCGATGAAATTAGGGCTTTCGTCAAATCCCTAAAGGAGATGATCAATTCACACAAGATGTTACAATAGCGTCTCTTTGATGTCTTCTCCCTGAAGTGAAATGAAAACAATATGCCGTTTTTTTGGTGCTAGGGGACTGATATATTTGGGTTATCGTAATAACTTTTGTTATGGTTAGGATCTGCAGGGACGCATTCCCACCCCCTCTACAGCTTTTTGGCCAATATCTCGACACCCGAGACTCACAGTCCGTTCGGACTTGGCTCATTCGATCCCTCTCTAACTGCTCTCCTCCAGCTGTTATAATTTCATGGTCATAGGGCTATTTCTTACATAGTTTTTAATTGTTTTAAACTTTTTAAAATGTATTTAAATCCACAATATCTTGGCTCCTGTTTGAGTCTCGGACTTGAGATTTGAACCAACTGTTCCACTCGTCGAAACCCATCCAGTCATATACTTGACTCCCGTTGGGGAGGGCTTAAGCACTAAAATATCATGCTCCCATGTTAATCCTATGGGGCATCGCCCCCTAGGGCTTCCCCATTAATAACTCGAATCCTATGCTATCTTGGTCGGCCACAACGGCTGGATTCGATTGTTCCCCCTATGAGCTCTTCAAATAAGTAATTTTACCCCAATAGCCCCATTCCTTCCTCCCATTTCACGTTTTTAAAAATTTTTTAATTCCCCATAGCTCCGAGGATTTTTGACCTGTATGGCTCCGAAGCACAAGGACTCAACCTCCCAGGTGTCTTCCCCCCCCTGAACAGCATTTTGCCAATGCAAATCCTGACTAGATCATTTCACTGAAACAGTTTATAGTTTGATAAAATCACTTACTTTCATCATGGAAATGACACTGAAGAGACGTTATTTTAAAATATTGGTCAAAATGCTGTCCAGGGGGCAGACACCTGGGAGGTCGAGTCCTTGTACTTCCGAACCATACAGGTCAAAAATTCTCGTAGCTATGGGGAATTTTAAAATTTTTAAAAACGTAAAATGGGGGGGGAGGAATGGGGCTATTGGGATAAAATTACGTATTTGAAGAGCTCATAGGGAGAACAATCGAATCCAGCCGGTGCGGTCGACCAAGGTAGCATAGTATTCGAGTTATTAATGGGGAAACCTTGTAGGGGGAGAGCGCCGAAGGAGGCCAATTCCACGTAAAGCTCGCGCATACACGAAAATATGGTGGACCTTTAAAAATCAAGTCCCAAGCTTAACTCCTTGGGGGAGAATTTCTTCAGACCCTATAGGATTAACATGGGAGCATGATATTTTAGTGCTCAAGCCCTACCCAATGGGAGTCAAGTATATGACTGGATGGGTTTCGACGAGTGGAACAGTTGGTTCAAATCTCAAGTCCGAGACTCAAACAGGAGCCAAGATATTGTGGATTTAAATACATTTTAAAAAAGTTTAAAACAATTAAAAACTATGTAAGAAATAGCCCTATGAGCATGAAATTATAACAGCTGGAGGAGAGCAGTTAGAGAGGGATCGAATGGGCCAGGTCCGAACGGACTGTGAGTCTCGGGTGTCGAGATATTGGCCAAAAAGCTGTAGAGGGGGTGGGAATGCACCGGGGGGATGCGTCCCTGCAGATCCTAACTATAATAAAAGTTATTACGATAACCCAAATATCAGTCCCAAAGCACCAAAAAAGTGGCATATTGTTTTCATTTCACTAAAACAGTTTGGGTATTTAACTAATTCGCTTACAACAGGGAAAAGACATCAAATGGACGTTATTTTAACATCTTGCGTGAATTGATCTCCTTTTGAAATGTGACAAAAGCCCTAATTTCATCGTTTCCCTGCGACATATACATATGACGGAATCGCAATATTAAGTGATAAAATAGAAAGTGATTTTCCTTGTAATTTTTATGTCAAAAAAGGGTGTTGGACTTTTTATTTTTTGTTTGTTACTATATATTCATTAATTAAATTTCATTATTCTAATAAAATAGTAGAGTAAAAAAGGAAACACATTCTCAGAAATTAGGCAATTCCAGGTAGGATTCGAACCCACGACCTTTGGATAAGAAGTCCAACGCGCGCGCGCGCTATCCATTGCGCTACAGAAACACTACGACCGATTTTCCTTTCTATATATGCTGTTAGACTATGTTTGCTACTGTTTTTTATTTTTAATTTAATTAATGAATTAATATTTGAAAAAACTGTATTAACATCAAATGTCATCCACTACAAGTTTTAAAAAAATGGATGAGAATAGAAAGTATATTATTAACGATTGAAAATTTGAACTATATATATATATATATATATATATATATATATATATATATATATATATATATATATAGGGGGAGAGTGAACTATTAGTAGGAATTGAAATAAATACCAGTTACAAAATAAAAGCATGAATAATAGAAATGAACTTTAAGACTACTTGTGCAAATTCGATAACCATCGCTTTTATTCTAAAGAAATGGACACTTATAAAGAAGAGGTATAATGTGCAAAAATCATACTTTTGCATCTTTGTGTGTATGTATTGTGCATGATTGTTGATAATCAATAGTTTTTGGTAATTCCAATTAACAATATCCAGAAGAGTCTAGCAAGAGAAGTCTTATTCTATTCGTTAAGTCATTTGGGTGGGAAATGGGATTGCTACAAGTTGATGCTTCCAGGCGTGTAAATATGATCCTACGACTGTAGAATCAAGAAATATGAAGATTCTCTGTCTTGAAATGTTCTTGGTCGAACACGAGTTGCAACACTTCCGGGAAACCTTTTTCTATCTCTTTCGCCTAGAAAAAGGAAACACTGCTATATGCTTCAACTCGTTGCTGATGATTTTGTTATATCTGAAACAAGAACCTGCTACTTCGACGCAAAGACTCCTGCACAATGCTGGTCTAAATGTAAGACGGCAATTGTATCTGCTTTCCTGAACCGACCACTAAGATGTGTCCTTTTATGATGGGTAAGAAAACACGTTTCCTAGACCAGATAACAATGGACTTTTGTACTCGTCACAAATGAATCCAGGCACACATTGGAAATGCTGATCTGGGAGAACAACTCACCAAATACAATCAGTCCAGCAGAGGCATAACATACATCCCGCAACCCATGCATTGCGGGTGGTCCAGGGTTCTAAGGAGCCCAAAACTTGACTTTGCAGGGAGCCCTAATATTCTCCGTTACGCCACTGCAGTCCAGTATTTGAGTCCTAGTTACAGAGGTATAGAATCATGGTTTGGTTAGTGATCCCTATGGTCATACTGACCTGCATGTGTTCTATGCATGAACTTTATTGTGTGATATCGGCATGAGATTCTTCATCAATATGTCAAATCGATCGCATCGAATTCATTTTTATGGAATGATAACATGTGACCTTACTTAGCTTGTTTAGGACTATCTTGAGGATAACGATTTAGAATGAATTGAATGGCCAACTCAACCTCGATGAATTCGATAGAGCTTATTTAGGACTTCATAACATTAAATTTATAACATGACCAATGAATACTGATACTTAAATGATGAAAAATAGTGCTAAAGATTTTTCAATACAATCTATGTTTTAGTAATAAAAAAATAAGCTCCCACATGTTCGTTTTTGTTTAATTTTTCTTCATATCGAAAAATTAGATTAGAATTCAACAATTTTTTAGAATTGCTCTGATGTTCATGATTTTTTTTATGTGAGTTTGCATCAACAACTAAGAAACAGTTTTTCTATAGTATTTATTGTGTCATAACGTATATAATTGTTATTTTTTCGTAATACCTGGTACGCAGTTTTTTCGTAATACACAGCTACAGAAAATTAACTTAGGAAATATCATTAATTTTTAATCCTTAGGGTGCATTTTATTACATTTAAATCAAAACAAAATATTAGATTTAAGAGAAATTTTTTGAGTGATTAGCATTATGTTTTTGAAATCAAAATGATTAGTAAATAGCGGTACAAACTGATAAATGTTATAAGCACTAAAATAACAATATTTTTTATATAATTTTTAGATTCAACATATCGAAATTTTTGACATTATTCTCAACAAAGAAAACCATATGTAACTTGTTGCCTTTTTTAATTTTTGTAACTATTTTGAAAGTAGCCAATTATTTATAAGGTGCTAAATATAACAGCCCAAGCACATACTACTTTGTAGATTATAGACTTCGTTGCCATCAAAAGTAGAGTATTATGGATTCACACTAAGCGGTTCCTCTTTTTACGTATAGATAGGAACTTTAAAGACACACAGGGAGAAAAAGGGAAGCAAGTAAGGACATTCTACTTTCCCTTCGTCAAAAGGGAAAAAATTGAATATTTTTTTACATCAACCAATGAAACTTTTGGTGATGCGCTCCTGCTGTTTCCCCCTGATTTGACAGCATTGCGTATTAATTTCGTGAACACTGTTGTAAAAATCGTATAGAAATTATGCTACAAGTAAAAGAAAAATTACAAAAATAAATAAATAAAATAAACTAATAAATAAAAAAAATATACCTTTCTAGTAACTTGCAAAAAAAATTTCTATCCAGATGGAGCGCATATTGTCTATTTTAATTGATTTAAATATTACTAAATCATACATAGAGTGTATAGATTTCTGAAAGATTTGTTTATATATTTCTTTTTCAATGACTTAATGAGATGAAACAACTTGTTTGGTGTTTTTATTGAGTTGGATGTGCGTACAAAATTTATTATTTCAAATTGTTTTTGTCAATTATTGCGAAAATGAGCTCATATTAATCTTATATTACATAAGAAAGAACAAATAATTTCAGTAAAGTCTGAAACATTTTACTTAACATTTAATGATATAATATAATAGAGTTTACATATTCATTTGGTGAGAATATTTTGTGTATGTTGCATATATATCTCTTACACAGCAAAGCAATCTGTTGCAGTTGATTTAAATTAGTCTATCTATTTTAAGAAGATTTTTTGAATGCAGTAAAGCCTTTTTCTAGTGATGGATAACTCAGAGGATTCAAATTCTTCTCTTTCTCCAATAAACAAGCATTATGTGTGTAGCACCTGTTCTAAAGCATTTAAATTGAGTTGTAGTTTGCATGCACATTTAAGAATTCACCAAACTAAGAAATTTTATGAATGTTATGGAAAATGTGATTTAAAGAATCATTCATCACTTCTATTTAGTGAAAAGACACATGCTTGCAATTTGTGTGATAAAGTTTTTTCTTTTAAACAGGCATTGAAGAGACATATGATTACTCATAGTAAAGAGAGACCTTATGAGTGTAATATATGTCACAAAACATTTAAAAGCAGCAGTACATTAATAATCCATTCAAAGGTTCATTTGAACCTTAGAAATTATGTGTGTGAAGTGTGTAACAAAGCTTTTAATCATAAGAGTACATTACATTCACATATGTTTACCCATACAAATGAGAAGCCGTTTGTGTGTAATATATGCTCGAAAGGATTTTCCCAGAAGGGCAAATTAAATTATCACGTATCTTGTCATAAAAATGGGAAACTCAGTGTGAAGAAGTCAATGAAAAGATCAAAGGAAACAGAAGAGAAACCATTTGTTTGTGATATATGCTTCAAAACATTTAAACAGCAGAATAAGTTGAAACTTCATTTAATTTATCATCTAGATGAAAAGCCCTTTGTTTGTGAAATATGCAAGAAGTCTTATGCTAGACTGTATGAATTGAAATTACATTTGAGGTCCCATACAAATGAAAGACCTTTTTCTTGTGATGCTTGTGGACTAGGATATACATGTAGAAGCACTCTAAATAAACATCTAATCAGTCACATTAATGAATATTTATATAGTATATCTTCCAAATGTTGTAAAATGGAATGTGTTCGAGTTAAAAAAAAGAGTTCATGAAAAAGTTAAAGAATTGCAATAATGTGTTAACTTTTTCCCATAATTTATTAATAAAACCCAGAATAATTATTTAATGTAGTTTAGAATATGAAATTGCATATTATTTGAGAAAAAAAATCATCTGGCATTCTTAAAACTTCAATTACATGCTGCATTTTTTTGTGATGGTAAAAATTGTAAATAGTCTTGTTTTATTTTACAATGTACATATCAATGATATGGAACCCCAAACATGTGTAACATAATACTTTGAAATAAGTTTTATAAATGAGATCATTTTATTTTCCAGAAAAGGGCCTTCCTCAAGAATTTTGATATTGGGCCCACTCAGTATTAGCTATGCCACTGATGAGCAACATAGTTTTGTTTAATATTTAATTAATTTTATTTATAAGATGAATTACATATATTAGTCCTTTTTTATTAAAACTGTACTACAGGTTTTTTTTTGTTTTATTTTTGTAATTCCTTTGTGCTAGACAATCCTAATTGGGTCTGGCTTTATTATGGTTATAATTATATGAATTATTTTCCTAATTTTGAGAACTTTCAAGAAAACTTAGGAAAAAATTAAACCAAAATAAGTTTGCCCAAAGTAATGTACCAAAGGAAGTGTTTTAATTTGGCTTGAACAATGCATGATAAAAAGCACCACATAGTTTTACATTTTTATATCACAAATAAATGTATGAATTGATTCAACAGCAAATTGTTCATATTGAAAAAAAAAAGACTACTTAAAATTTGAAATGTTGTCATATTTATAACTTTGTTGTAACTTCATCTTTAACAAAATATCTGTTCAAAAATATTCTTCTTGTGGATATGTCAGTTTAAGGAAGTAAACTGTTATCTTGTCTGTGCCCGTATTTTTAAATGTCAGCAAATCTTTGATTTAAGTAATTTTCTGAATTGTAATCATTTCATTTGATTTTATAACCCTTTTTGCAGCTCTAAATTTTTGTTACATTTCTAACCACCTTTTACAGAAAAGATTTACTATCCCTAACTTGAAAGGCAGTTATTGTTTTCAAATTCTAAAATCTATCAGTGGCTTAAAAATCTTTCTTGTCCCAATTGGATTTTTGAAATGCTGAAATCGTTCAAAAGGAACACGTATTAATTTTGAAGTATATGAAATTCCAGTAACTACATTAAGAAACAATTTTGCAGAATTTCAGCGTAAAAGAGAAATTGGCACAAAAACTGTACTGA